AGAAAGGAAACAATCAGGGCCAGCTAACACTTTCCAATTAAGTAATCCCCAGGCAGGAAACAGCCAGACTTTGAAGCTGCAAGGGCATTCAGTACTCATCAAGCTAGCCAATTTCAACATTCACACTTGCCTCAAGCAGACAAGAGTTCTTTCTCTCGCCCTGGACATTCCACAGATATATGAACCTCACTTGCCTAGTTTCCAACAGACCTCCCAACATCTGAGGATGCCTGCCATAGATGTGGGTGAAATGTTAGGAGAGAATGCTTCTGGAACATGCATGAATGACCACTGAGTTTGTGTCTTCAAGTCACCTATGACTTATGGCAACCGCCTGACCTTTACAGGATAATCCTCAAGGGTAGACTTGTCAGACCCTTCTTGTGTGATACAGCCTCTATCTGTCTGTCTGTCTGTCTGTCTATCTGTCTATCTATCTATCTATCTATCTATCTATCTATCTATCTATCTATCTATCTATCTAATGGCTACATCATTGTTTTATTGTATCTGAATTTTTATTGTAAAATTTACTATTACTATGGCTTTCAACTTGGTTAAATCCCATATTATGAGGCTTATCTTCAAAGGTGGCTTATATTTTATATAATAAGTATAAACATTGTTTGTGGGTGAATGGGATTATAAATAATGACATTCGAAAATAAAGTAGAGAAAGTACAGGCAATGCAATTATTCCTACCAGTGTTGACATTTTGTACTTGTTCTGTTTATGTAATAAATGTCAGCTTCACTTAGTAGTCAGACCTGCTTTGTCTTCAGTACCAGATCCTTTTCCTTCTTCAAGTCCGCTAACATGGGCATAAAAGATTTTGTTCATTCTTGTCAGGAGCCAGATAAGTTACAAATTGGCACAAGAGAGTTTACATGCAAGATGTGAGTAGAATTTTATTATTTTATATAGCTACTTGTAGTCCCAAAAGACAGTGAAAATCCATTCAAATTTTAAAATAACCACAACACAAACTATATTGAGATATCAATAGAATTGGAAGAAACAACCTAGAAAAAGTTGTGGTTCCTAGTCTAATGGAGAACTGCTGTTTTGCATATATAGTAGTGAGGCTGGCATTTTGCAAGATCTTTAGCCTCCTCTGCCAAATAATGCTGATACCACATCAAACTTACAGTTCCCATGATTCCATGGAACAGGAAATAGATTGTAAGTTTTCCAGGCTGTATAGCCATGTCCCACAGACATTCTCTCCTGACGTTTCACTCACATCTATGGCAGGCATCCTCAGAGATTGTGAGGTCTGTTGGAAACTAGGCAAGTGGGGTTTATATATCTGTGGAATGTCCAGGGTGGGAGAAAGAACTCTTGTCTGCTTGAGGCAAGTGTGAATGTTGCAATTGGACAACTTGATTAGCATTTAATGGCCTTGCAGCTTCAAAGCCTAGCTGGTTGCTGCCTGGAGAATACTTTGTTGGAAGGTATTAGCTGGCCCTGGGCAATTCCAGAGGAGAATCAATCTGTTAAACAGCTCTGTCAGGAAGTTCTTCCTTATGTTTAGGTGGAATATATTTTCTGTAGTTTGAACAATGATTGATACCACAAGTTTACATTATTGTAGATAAAAGATACGTTCAACTAGTAGAGATAGTACAGATTGTTTAAATAATCAAACAGATGCTATATTCATACAATTAGGGTGCCGCTCCCTCAACATTGTGGAAGAAAAGCCGCAAGTCTTCCATATCTGATCATTTAAGAAGTACTGTTGTAGTGCAGAATATGTGAAGGATCAAAGGTTCCCCACTCCTTCTTACTGGTTTAATAAACAATATAGGCATTTGCTAATCTGAGACAGTTTTAACCATTGGTGTGTTATTTCTCCCCCCCCCCCCCTTTAAATCTATTGAAATCTACTTTAAATATGTAGTATGGCTGCTGCCTAAATCCTTCTGTAATTCCGGGGAAGAATGGGTAAACCACTACAAAACTCCTAATAATCTAGTGTTTTCCATTGTTGCTATATTTATTCAGTATTAGACTGAAACTCATATTCTTCCCTTATTATAGGGCCAGATTTAAGGGTATTAGAACTGCTAAACCGTTAGTATCATTGTGCTCAGTGTTCAGGCAAACTTTTAAGAGTAAATGTAAATTAACGTTTCATCAGCAAAGTGCTCACTGAAAAATAGTATGCTCATGTAAGAGATAATGTATTTGAAATTACCATATTAGTAGTGACAATAGTTTTGTACATACATATCAGTGATTTTGAAATATTGCAGGAAAATCAGTATCGGTGAATTAATTATTTAAAATTAATTCAATTCAAAGCTCCTACACCTAAATTCTTTGTAAATCCAACTAGGACTTTGAAGTACTAATTCAAAATGGATTCAATGTGTCTGCTGTAGTTGGGACAAGCCATTGAATGTAAGCTTTGCATTAGGGATTGGAACCATACATTCCTTCGCTTGATGTAGAGGAAAATTCCCAGCATTCTTCACCATTGACTATTCTGCAAAGAATTGCAATCTATCATTGTATACAGAGTTGTATAGTTTTTCACTGTTGAATTATAATTTAATTACACTTTTATGCTCAGTCTGGCTTTCTTGTTTGTGTGGCTTTGTATGTGTGAATATGATATTTGCATTGGTGATAATGTAGCAAAGGGAAAAGTTGAGATATAGATTGTCAAGTGTCTCATCAAAGTATGCCTGGTAGAAGGACAAATGCCATCAATGTCTCTCATTCAAAGCTCATTAAAAAAATCATGTATCCTTCAGTTTTATCTGGTAGTTGTTTGCTACTTTGTATCCATCTTCCCTGTTTGTTGTTATCTAACTTAAATGGGCTGGCAGAATGTTGGATAAGCAAAAATATTGGATAATAAGGAGGGATTAAGGAAAAGCCTATTAAACGTCAAATTACATTATGATTTTACAAATAAAGCACCAAAACATCATGTTTCACAACAAATCGACAGAAAAAAGCATTATGTAGTAATTACTGTAGTTACGAATTTAGCACCAAAACATCACAATGTATTGAAATAGGTGTGGATCCGGGTGGAGGCAGATGCGTTGGATAATACAGAACGTTGGATGAGCAAAAGTTGGATAAGCGAGACTCTACTATATTATTAATTCTGTTGTTTCTTCTTGACTTTAAATATATGACACTTGTGTAAATGGGAAACGATTTATTTTTAATATATGTGTGTATGTGCCTCCAAGTTTCCTGTCATCTTATGGTGAGCCTATGAATTTCATAAGGTTTTCCTAGGCAATGAATGGGGTAGTTTTGACTACTTCGTGGCTTGAAAATATGCATGCTTAATGGGTTGGCATGTTACATCCTTTAAGCAAATTAATTGTTGGTTTGCAGCCTTTGAGAAAGTTCACAGGACACTTACACAGTAGCATTTTTGTTTCTGTAACTATAGGTTTGTTAGAACTGTTAATAACAGAGTGTCTTGGAGATCTCTTTTTTGTAGAGTCACCACGAAGTTGAAGTTGACAGGCCAGCGGTTAGCAACTAACAATGATATAAGGTTAAAACCTTGCTGTAAATAACAATTACTATCCTCCCATGGTTATTTAGAAATGCAGAGTAGGAGGGAGTAGATTTACCTTTAAAAACATGGCTGGTAATCGTAAACTATCACAATCCAATTATCTCATGGGGAGGCAGAAAGTAGGTAAGCCTATTGGTGTAGCTCTAGGTGGCTGGCATTTGATAGGTCGTGGCTTCCTAATACAGTATTAATAAGAAACAAAAGTGTAAGTGTACAGAAAGGTTTCATGGCTCTGCACCCTTATCTGGGAGTTGTATCATTCTCTTGGAAAATATGATTATTAGATGTTTGTAGAAGTCTGCTGTCTAATTCTAAGAATTTTGTGTTGTAGTCTTTGATCTGAAGTGGACCATATCTGTACTTCCATTTTCAGAATATACTCATGCCTAATTTGTTAGGTTCAGCATGCAGTTGGCACCTCTAAGGCACCAACAGGTGTTTGGCATCACCTCACAGCCAATCTTTGTGATTTCAAGAATTTTGTGAAGTCTTTCCTGTTTTGGTCTATCAGAATCTAGCCATTAGACTTAGCCTAGATCTGCTATATCCCTATATATAGCAGATCCCTATATCCCAGGATCTGATCCCAGATTATCTGGCAGTATAGACTCATATAATCTAGGATCAGACCCTGGGATACAGGGCTATGTATTTCCAGCCTTAGATCGATGAGTTCTGTGGTCATAGAGGTAGCAATCCCTGTAGTTGGTAAAATAGCTGGAGGATTGACATTCTTTCCATTCTCATACTTATTCTGACAAATGGTGCCAGTGTGTTTTTGTGTAATGGTTGCAGGGGGGACACACAAGGAAGAAAGACCAGTTGCATTAGTGGAAGTAGCACTAATATGGCATCAGACCCATTACATTATTTCAGCCATATGTTCCAAATAGCTTTTATTATCTTTGAAGTATGAAGATGTAGCATAAAGTGTTCAGTAACAGAGAATACAAGAAATTCATTGACCCCGTTAATTTTAAAGAGCCCATTATTACCAGTTAGTAGCAATGACTCCTTGCTTACTTCTTTCTTTAAAAATGTATTGATTCTTTCATATGAATTAATATTTGTCTCAAAGCTCAGCATTAATTAAATTAAACTGCTTGTAACCTGGCTACAGGGTTATTGTATTTTGTTTAACTGCATGAATCATAGAAATGTATATGGTTCTTAAATGAAATCTTACCACATACTCTAGTATTTAACTATCGAATTTTTCTGCACATATGTGAAAAATAATTATGCAGCTTATCCTAAATGGTATGATCCTGATTTTCTGGAAGACAAATAATGTTGTGCATAAAGCATGCCACTAGGCGGTGCCTCAGGTTTAATTATTTTCCATTAATGTCAGAGGTGACACTTGAGAAATCCTGGCAATTACAATTAAATAGGTGTGATATGCATAGACCTATTGTGCAACTTTATATTTTAAATGTGTTCTAATTACTTTAACAATCTATTTGCAGGAACTGCCAACCTCTAGAAGTGATTACACCTGACTAGCATTTAATCGGTAAGTATATATTCCTATTTTCTTTTAACTTCAGATCTAAAATTAGTGTTTTTCTACTTGATATACCATATTTATTTGAGTCTAATGTGCCACTGAATGTAATGCACACCTCAATTTTTGAAATATTGAAACCAAAAAAGTATTAGTTGCTGACGTTAGCGGCAAACGGTGCATTCTTTCTAATTTAAAACACGAAAGCTTTCAGCAACATGAAAAAATGCCCTTGGGATGCAATAGAAAGAATCCACTTTAATTACCTTGGTTCAATTCCATGGAATAATGGGGGTTGTAGTTTCACAAGGTATTGAGCCTTCTCTGCCAAAGAATGCTGATGCCTCACCAAACTATAAATCCCCAGGCTACATAGCATTAAGCTGTAGCAATTAAATGAGAGATGAAATGAATGTAATGCACACCTTATTTTTGAAGATGTCATTTAGCCAAAAAAGGTGAACATTAGATCTGAATAAAAAGTAATTCAACACATAAACGTTTTCTGGCAATGGCTAAGATTCTACATTAGGAAATATGTGGTCGGGGTGAGGGGGGGGGGCAAGCAAGGTGATCGAGGACCTATTCAACTATTTTCCTGGAGCTGGACATAGTGTGACAGACACCAGAGGATCCTTGCAAGATTTCTGTGGATGACATGTCTGTAGCGCTTGCAGCTACAAGAAAATGGCTAGATTTATTGCCACTCATCCCTCTGCTCTCCAACAACATGGAAATAATGGTATTGGGTGAGATGTGCTGTTTACTAAATTAGTCTGGGAGAGGATTTTAATTGTTGTATGGTTGGGACATAATTATGCCCCACTCAGCTATCCTACAAGGGAATTGCAATGCTGCATGTCCAATTTTCACTATAGTAATCCACTAACAGCATGCCAGCCAATATTTCTATGTTCTCTTCTATGACTTAGAATATTTATTCGTTCACTCGCCAGAAAAGAGCAACTTTCAATGTAATATTATGCGTTCATTCATTTATTCATTTTAAACTCCTTTTCTCCCACTTCGCAAACAAAAAGGTCCTCAGAGCAATTTGCATATAGTTAGTTTAAAAACAAAACACTGGCCTGCCCATTTGTCTGCAATATAATAGACATCACATAACAAGAAAAAGGAATTGGGAAGGAAAACGCAGGTGGTTTTTTAACAGTGCAATTAATACCGAACAGTGTTCAGAGTTACCAGTACTTAATAAACTGGTGGAGAAAGGGGACATATCATTATAGGCTTCATTACATGTTTTACTTAAAATAATCAACACATTTGCATTAAAGATTGTAAGAATATTCATTATTGCTTGTCCCCAAGTCAATAAATAGTCTGGAAGCTAGCTTTGCGCATTGACAGTGTCATAGCCAATGTGGTAAATCCGAGGTGCGATTATTGCTAATTGATAAATAGTCCAGAAGCCTAGTGAGAATCAACCAGAGAAGTCAGACATAGCAGAGCACATGATGAACCAACCTGGACACAACGTATTATCTGAGGACACAGAAATGCTGGCCCACTCTAACAAACACCATGTCAGATTACACAGAGAAGCCATTGAAATCCACAAGCATGTGGGCAATTTCAGCAGAAAGGGGAAAAAAACAATGAAAATGAACAAAATCTGGCTAACAATATTAAGACATTTTTTTAGATCAGGGCAGTAAATAAAGAATAACACTCAGAAAACAGGGAATTCTGGACAGGAAGCAATCAGGGCCAGCCAACATCTCCCAACAAAGGATTTCCCCAAGCAGGAAGCAGCCAGGCTTTGAAGCTGCAAGGCTATTAAATATTAATCAAGCTGGTCAGTTGTAACATTCACACCTGCCTCAAGCAGACAAGAGTTCTTTCTCCCACTCTGGATATTCCACAAATGTATAAACCTCACTTGCCTAGTTTCTAACAGACCTTACAACCTCTGAGGATGCCTGCCATAGATATGGGCGAAATGTCAGGAGAGAATGCTTCTGGAACATGGCCATACAGCCTGAAAAACTCACAGTATCCTAATGAGAATCTTTCACACTTTTGTTTAGTATCCAAATCTTCCCAAGTGTTGCAGAAGTAATTTTAGAACATAGAACATGTTTTTGCGGGGCATGAAGCAGTTTTCTGCATCCAAAAACATATTGCACAATGACAGTTTTCTTTTCATTGTAGTAGTCCTGTTTTTCTATACAAGATAAATCCACCACTTTGGGACTTTCAAGTATGGGGGGAATAATGCTGAGGAAAAATCGTGGAGAAAACTGCCATAGTTATTAGCTTTCCACTAGGCCTGTGCGGTTTCGTTCGTTAATTCGTTAATTCGTTAAACATTCGTTAATTTTCGCATATACAAAACGACAACAAAACATATTTTCAAACCCGGAAGGGTTTTTAAATATCGAAACGGCAACCCCCACAGTTTTAACGAGCTTTCGCCCGTTTCGTAAATGGGGCGGGCCGGGCGAAGGGGCGGCGCGAGCGCACACCCAGTGAGCCAAGCCCCGACCCTGCCTGTTGGGCGCGAGCGCAACCGGCTCCCGATTGACTAACTGCCCGATTCACAGAATGGTATTATACGTACACTGAGCTCATAGGCGCATGGAGACAGAGCCGGCGCTGCAGGAATCCCCTCCCCGGCTCCTGCGCTCCGGCTCCTGCGCTCCGGCTCCGGCTCCTGCGCCCTCCTCCTCCTCCTCCACAGCTGGGAGAGAGAGGCGCCTTAAAGAGACAACCGGCCTCCGCAGCTGTGTTGCAGGAAGTGCCAGGAGGAGGAGGAGGAGGAGGAGGAGGAGGGCGCAGGAGCCGGAGCCGGAGCGCAGGAGCCGCGGAGGGGATTCCTGCAGCGCCGGCTCTGTCTCCATGCACCTATGAGTGTACGTATAATACCATTCTGTGAATCGGGCAGTTAGTCAGACCCATCTCTTGACTAACTGCCCGATTCACAGAATGGTATTATACGTACACTCATAGGCGCATGGAGACAGAGCCGGCGCTGCAGGAATCCCCTCCCCGGCTCCTGCGCTCCGGCTCCTGCGCCCTCCTCCTCCTCCTCCTCCTCCTCCTCCTGGCACTTCCTGCAACACAGCTGCGGAGGCCGGTTGTCTCTTTAAGGCGCCTCTCTCTCCCAGCAACACAGCTGGGAGAGAGAGGCGCCTTAAAGAGACAACCGGCCTCCGCAGCTGTGTTGCAGGAAGTGCCAGGAGGAGGAGGAGGAGGAGGGCGCAGGAGCCGGAGCCGGAGCGCAGGAGCCGGAGCGCAGGAGCCGGGGAGGGGATTCCTGCAGCGCCGGCTCTGTCTCCATGCGCCTATGAGCTCAGTGTACGTATAATACCATTCTGTGAATCGGGCAGTTAGTCAGACCCATCTCTTCTGATGACAAATGTCACACCTATCACATAGGAGTCCTTCTCATGTAAGCAACATCTGACCGAATTCATTCTTCTATACAACTGGGAAAGATACAGGAGTTCTGCTCCTAATAAAGATGGGAATAATATGTGAAAATATTCTAAAATGCAAAAGAATGTTTACTATCAAGTAACCCTGATGAAATGAATCCTGGATTGATAAGAAACTTTGCAGTTATACCCTTAACGGATCGACCCCCGCGCCAATAACGAAGCTTGTTTTACGCATGCGCGGGGGTCCGCCATCTTTACAAAATGTTTTGTAAATATTTACGAAATTTCGTAAATACCAAAACTTTTTTTGGGAAAATTTTGTAATTATTTTAAATATCGAAACAAAAAAACACCCCAATTACAAATCGATTTTAGAAACAAATTTTTTCTTGATCAAACAGGCCTACTTTCCACATCTAAGGATAAAACAGTCAAGGATTTCTATCCCTAATTTACATTTCATTGCAGAAGAGACAACTTCTAAACATGGAGAATGGACTACTTTAAAGTAAACTTCATGTATAATGGGGATCAAGCAGGTTTGAGGTTATAGAAAACCATTCTGTGTCACCCTTGAGATAACCGATGCATAACACTTAGAAAGGAGAGAGACATGTACATCTTGAGGCCAACATAATTAAATAACAGTGTCAAGGGAAACCTGAGATAAGAGAAGATATTCATTTATTAATGTGCCTTACTCAAGTAAAGGAAATGGGAAACAGATACCCTCACTAATACAATGGAAGAATTTGAAGAGCAAATTAACATAAAATTTCATTTTAAAACATTAATCGGAGTAACATAGTTGTGCTTTAGATGAAATATGAGTGAAAGGAGTATCAAATAAGAGTGTGAAGATGGTAGAAATTAAAAAATAATCTTTGTATGAATTTCTACCACTGAAGCTTGTTGAAGAGATGCTGGGCCCAAGGCTTCTTTTTCAGAAAGAGCATCTGAGAAACTATGTCAAATGGAAGTAATAAAGCTAATTAACAAATGGCTTACTTAAGTCATGTCTCCATATAGGGATATCTTTGTTGCTATAAAATATTTTGAATATATCATAGAAAGTAAATGAAGTTAAACGTCTTCATACATTGTATAAGGATTTTATCCTAGCCAGAATGCAGCAGCTGTTCTTATTTTAGTTACTAAAATTTAGTGTGTGAGCAAATGCTAAATACCAGTGTGACTAACTGATTATCCATAGCTCTGCTGAATTCCCCACAAAAGGGAACAGAATTAGTGTGCAAATGAGGAAGATACTGTCCTTCATGACTAATTTGTAAAGATATTTAAAAGTTTTCAGCAAGCAAGTGAATTTTATGGCAGGATGCCTAATAGGGTTGAATGTTCTGTACTCTATTGCTGAGACAATTTCCTTTTCAGGGGTTTTTAATGTTGCTTGTGAAGCTATGTATCACAATCAGTTCAGTATACAGTAGAGCCTTGCTTATCCAACATAAACGGGCTGGCAGAACGTTGTATAAGGAAAAATGTTTTATAATAAGGAGGAATTAAGGGAATGTCAAATTGCTTTATGATTTTACAAATTAAGCATCAAAACATGTCGACAGAAAAAGCAGTTCAATACACAGGAATATTATGTAGTAATTACTGTATTTATGAATTTAACACCAAAACATAGCAATGTATTGAAAACAGTTGTGGATCCGGGCGGGAGGCAGACTACATTGGATAATACAGAATGTTGGATAAGCAAGACTCTACTGTATGTCCATTATATGAACCAGATGTCTCTATGCAACACCTTTGGTATTGTTTTATAAAATATGATCAAGACACTGGCTTTTAGAAATTGGTTGTTGATGGATATCCTGGTGTAGATAGATAACAGCCTGCCAAAATATTTTAAATAAGGCGGAGCAACTTGTTGTCTTTAAAAATAATTAGTGAAGCATGCCGAGAATATGCAAGAGAATGAGCCAATATATGAGGTGGAGATATAGCTTCAAGAGAGGTCTAGATAAATGTTCTGAGTAAAACAATTAGGATTTCAAGAAGTGTGAATATCGTTCAAATGCGACTATTGTAGTTACTCAGTTACTATAGCTTACATGCCTTTGGGGCTGCCTTTGAAGATAGTTTGGAAGCTTCAACTGGTTCAGAGATTGGCAGCCAAATTACTAACAGGAGCTCCGTGCAGGGAGAGATCCACTCCCATGTTGCGGCAGCTCCACTGGCTACTGGCCTGCTTCTGGACTAAATACAGAGTGCTGGTCGTTGCCTTTAAAGCCCTAAATGGCTCGGGTCCAGGCTGTTTGACCAATTGCATCTCCTCTTACAAACCAGTTCGGGCACTGTGGTCAGCAGAGGAGGCCATGCTCTCAGTCCCATCGCCATCTCAAGTACGGCTGGTAGGAACAACAAAGAGGTTCTTCTCCTTAGTTGCCTCCACCTTATTTAGTGACAATATATGTGTATAAAACCTGTGCCAAATTATATGTGGTGCGTATCAGTGGAACATGTGTACGTTATACATTTTCTGATTATATGATTAATTTGCTTATATGAATACTAGCCCAAGTGTTGGAGGGGCCAATGTCCCCTGCTTTCATCCCCTTTTTCTCTTTCTCTCCCCTCATAAACTCTCCTTTACCTTTCTCTTATTTTTCTTTCTTTCTTGCTCCCCCTCTCCCTTTTTCTTTCTCTTCCTTTTCTTTCTTTCTTTCCTCCCTTCCTCTCCCATTTCCAGCTCTGAGAGGGCCTACCTCACAGTATCTCTATTGCAACATGGCTCTCTTTGTGGTTCTTTCCTTCCTTCCCCTCATACACATGTCACTTTTCTTTCCCAGTGACATCATAAAGGGCCACTTCACCTAGCAACAACTCATCCAGTGACATCACAAAGGGCCACTTCACCTACAAACAGATAGACATACATACATATTGGAAGAATTATTACAGTAGAGTCTCGCTTATCCAACCTTTGCTCATCCAACGTTCTTATTATCCAACACAGTCCAGGGTGGGAGAAAGAATGAACCCTTGTCTGTTTTGGTGCTAAATTCATAAATACAGTAAATACTACATAACGTTATTGTGCACTGAACTGCTTTTTCTGTTGATTTGTTGCAAAACATATTTTGGTGCTTAATTTGTAAATTCATAACATAATTTGACGTTTAATAGGCTTTTCCTTAATCCCTCCTTATTCGACATTTTCGCTTATCCAATGTTCTGGCTGCCCGTTTATGTTGGATAAGCAAGACTCTACTGTACTTGAAAAATTCACTATCCATTCCTGTTAGTGCTCTTTGTCTTCCAAAACCTATATGATAAATGAATTTTATCCAAGCTGTCTAATTATTACAATAAACACATTACAAACTTGTCTACAAAGCTTTCTCTTAATGAATGAGAATATTGACGTTGTTACTGACTTGATTGTGTATCAAAACTACTTACTAGAGTATGACCTCCCTGCCATACCCATGAGAAGGACAGGGTATAAGTACAGTCAATAAATAATAATAAATACTGTACTTTATCTGCCTAGCCCAATATTTCAATTTATTTTGGAGAAAATAAACTCAGAAGCGAATTTTGAATTTTGCCTTTATATTGTTGGAAACTGCTTTGAGTCCCCTTAGGGGAGAAAAGCGGTATATAAATGTAGTAAATAATAAATAAGCACTTTTGGTCATCTGTATTCTCTCTTACACAGTCACAGAGAATGAATTGCTGAATAGCAGTCTGTTGCATCTGTTATCTAGGAACACTATATTTGATGTATCAGATTGAGCGAGAATATTGTTAAAAATAACACCTTCAGTGTGGATAAGAGCTAATTAAAAAGGGCCTTGAATGCATGTAAAATCCAGTGTTTTGTTATATTAGTCATGGCTTAATAAAGTTACCTCTGGCAATTTTAGGCTTCTGGCAGCCCTAAAAGAAGCAAACCTAATCATATTGGAAGCCAATTTAACATTAGTCACTGATTATGTATTCAGCTTTGTTTTTCTTGTTGCCTAGATCCTCGGCCTTTGACAAAACAATAGACTCAGGCTTCTGGTCATGAAAGGCTTCTGGTCATGAAAATGAGTGTGCCTCCCTGCTTTGTTTATAGAGACACAGGATGAGGCATCTGAAAAATTAATAGGTGTCTGTTTTATTTAACTGTCTATTGAAAGTGGCAAAACAGAATGAGACTGAATTTAACTAGATTCTTATTGATGTTTCCAAATTCCAAAAATTATTTATTTGAGCCTGTATCTAGTTGTTAATCTGAACTAGATCCACTGAATCAATGGGAAGGCAATTTAAATTCTGATGATTCATTGACTATACTCTTGTTGGGAGTAATAGTTGGATTCGGTTGTATGTCTTAAACATGTGTCCTGCTTTTCTACATTTAGCACATAAGAGAGTGTCCAACACATTTTTTTAAAAGCCAACATAAAGATAAAGATAGATAAACATAAAGATAAGGTTCTGTAGGTTTGTTCTTAAATTGAATTTGTTTTTAAGTCACAACAGTTCCAGCTAAAAGTGTACTCTTTGTAATTTGGCCAAAAATGTGCACATTATAGTTCCTGTGTGACTAGAATCCCTTTTTAAAAAACACCAAAGCTTCCAAGCCATGGAAAGTAAAATCATAGAAATAGATAAAAATTCCCCCCAAAAGCATCTTCTGTTTATCCTGCCACAGCTTTCTGGCAGTATACTTATGCTGCAGAATTAATGCACTTTGACATCGCTTTAACTCAGTGATGTAGAAAGATGGCCTCTCTCTTTACCAGTAAATGTACCCTCTGTTTTAAAGTTAGAGCCGTGTTCCTTATACACTTATTTAGCTAATATAGCTAATTAAACTGCTTTAAATTTGGTCCATGTTGCTTCCTGCTATGAATATATTGCAACTGAACTCCCATTGTCTATAACTAAACATTGAATGCATGTAAAATCACAGAAAGAATATATTTTATTGTTGTAATAGTATAATAAATGGAATGCGATTAAAGTCAACCATATGTGATTTCCTGAAATCTTGAATGGAAACATATCTAAAGTAGAAATTTGTTCAGTGTTTTTAGATTATCTGTACTTTTTTTAGTTCTTGCCCTACCCTCCACTTTAAAGATGAGTTGACTGAGGGAAGGGGGATATTTGCGTGTGATATTTATGCTGATAACAGGCTCTTCGAGGATAAAGACATGGCCTTTCAACAGTGAAACTACTCAATTTGTTTGACCATATGTCTGTTAACATTATTATCATCCTAATAAATATTATGAAATTATCAATATTTACACATAGGATGCTCTCTATGGAAAGCTTTCAATCTGAAATCATAGAAATTCTGATGTGTGATCTTGTCATCATTGCAACCTCATATTGAATTTTTGTTTTTCCATGCTCAGGATGAAGACACTTGTGAGGATGGCATGCCCAAGAAATTTTAAAAGATGCAGACCACCTGATTGAAGAAGGTGGCTCTGTGATTTATCCCATTTGAGTAATACAGTAAGTGCAAAATATTTTCACTGGTGTTTGAGTTGCATGTTCATATAAGTGGTCTGATAATCAGTATTGAACGTACAAACTTCAGAAGTAATTTTAAGCACAGATATCTGCACTATCAAGTTACCCTTTATATTTATGTATAAGTCTAAAATTTTCAGTAAAACAATCAACCTGTAACACATGTCTCGACTTATCGATGTGTCAATGTGAGTACTGTACCTTAAGTCTTATCATAAAGGGAATTGTCCCCTTCTCTGAGTAGAGACTCTTAAAGAAGAGTTCTTCTACTCTCTTTGCCATAGCATCACTTCTGGCCTTTTCTAATGTCTGGTCAGGAAAATGGCAGCAGCAGTCAGGGGCAGTTTGCTCACTATAACAGTATTAGGACTTTTCCTTCTTCACGGAATGGGTCATATCAAAAGTCATAATTTTAGCCCCAAAACCTGCTCTCAACTTATACATGAGGTTGACTTATGCATGAGTGTGCACAGTACTGGGAAACATATGTATCTATTCAATATGCAGTGCCAAAAGTGGGAGAAGGGTAGTGTCAAAAAGCAAGGCAATAAGACAATTGTCAATTCTCTCTGCAATTTAGAGCACTATGCAACAATTTTTTGTTCCTGGGTTATAAATGTCATTTCCTAATTGGTTATATCATAAAAACATGGACAAAGTTTATTAAACTGCAAAAACTTTGTCTTTGCGGGACATCCTGCAGCACATTTTGCTATAGTTTTTCAATTAATATCTCATTGAGTCTCAACCAATTCAACATAGTTTGTGGCAACCACAAAAATGAAGTTTCTAGAGTATAACAACTACTTTCAAAGTAAGCACCACACAATTAAACAGGAATAACACTTTCAAACCAGGAACAGATTTTTTGTTCCCCACAAATTTTGTTTCATAATGTAATACAGTGTGAGAACGGAGAGCTTTTTGGACACATTTTAGATTTGTATTTGCTCACTTGATGCTGAAAGTTTTATTCATTTGGTTCAACTTGCGCCATAAATTATGTGGTACCTATCAGTTACCAGTATTGTTAGATGCATGCATCGTGTGTCTCATTGTGTAACTTCGCTCTTAATATAGCAACAATATTTAATGATTTCTGTTAAGTCTCAAGTCTTAACAGAATTATATTTTTATTACTTAATGGAAATATCATACTGCCTGTGATCATCTGAATATGGAAAGTGCCTAGCTAAATATTCCTTGTCTTTGTTGTTTTTCTCTCTCTTTTCTTTTCTAGTTGCTACTGTCCCTTAAGCAAGTCATGATTACATTAACTGAACTCAGATGTTTAGCAGATGCCCAGTCTTCATACCACGTCTTGAAACCATGGTGGGATGTCTTCTGCTATTACCTCACCATGATCATGCTGCTTGTAGCTGTCCTTGCTGGGGCTCTCCAGCTCACGCAAACTAGATTACTCTGCTGTCTTCCTTGCAAGCTCGAGTTTGACAATCATTGCGCAGTGCCTTGGGATCTGGTTAAAAGCAACATTAATGTATCCTTCAGCTCTGCGGCTCCAATAACGCGCCCTCTAAGAATCCAGAATTATCTTCATCGGCAGCAGTATTCCTACATTGATGCCGTATGTTACGAGAGAGAACTTCATTGGTTTGCCAAATTTTTCCCATACTTAGTGCTTCTCCACACTTTCATTTTTGCCGCTTGCAGCAATTTTTGGCTTTACTATCCCAGCACCAGTTCACGGCTAGAGCATTTTGTAGCTATTCTTCACAAGTGTTTTGATTCTCCTTGGACAACCCGTGCCCTGTCAGAAACCGTTGCTGAACAGTCCGTGAGGACTCTGCCACTCTTAATATCGAAGCAATTCATCTCCTCCCCAAGCAATTTAGCAGAATTGGACAGCAAGCGGCAATCTATGTCCTATTCACAAAGCGGACTGGAAACAGCTGGAAGAGAGAGCTCCTCTAATGTTCTAGACAGAAAAGAAGGCGAACAAGCGAAATCAATTTTTGAAAAAGTGAAAAGATTCAGAGTGCATGTTGAACAGAAGGATGTGATTTATCGAGTGTACCTGAAACAAATTGTGGTCAAAGTCATTGTGTTTATATTAATAATGATTTATCTCCCCTATTATTTAACTTTCATTACGCTCGAAATTGACTGTATAGTTGATATTCAAGTCTTTACTGGCTATAAGAGATATCAGTGTGTCTATTCGTTAGCAGAAATCTTTAAAGTCCTAGCATCATTTTACGCTATCCTTGTGATCTTATATGGTCTGACGTGCAGTTACAGCCTGTTGTGGATGGTGAGAAGTTCACTGAAACAATATTCCTTTGAGAAGTTGAGGGAGCAAAGTAATTACAGCGATATCCCTGATGTGAAAAATGACTTTGCATTTATCCTCCACCTAGCCGACCAGTATGATCCCCTTTATTCCAAGCGGTTCTCCATATTCCTCTCTGAGGTGAGTGAAAATAAGTTGAAGCAGATCAGTCTAAACAATGAATGGTCTTTAGAAAAACTGAAAAGCAAACTGATACGGAATTCCCAAGACAAAATGGAGCTTCAGCTTTTCATGCTCAGTGGTCTTCCAGATGATGTCTTTGAACTGACAGAAATCGAAGTTATAACTCTAGAACTGATTCCTGAGGTTAAGCTCCCTTCATCTGTAAATCAGCTCCCCAATCTTAAGGAACTGAACATTTATTATTCATCATTAACTGTTGAATTCCCAGCACTGAACTTTCTCGAAGAGAATCTTAAAATCCTGCGTTTGAAATCAGCTGACCTGGGAAAGATTCCACGTTGGGTCTTCTATCTACGAAACCTGCAGGAGTTGTACTTGACTAGATGTTATGTGCCAGAACCCCAGAATGGCTACTATAGTGAGGGCTTTCAGGATCTTGTGAATCTGAAAACGATTTACTTAAGGAACAGCCTTTCCCGCATTCCTCAGGTGATTACAGACCAGCTGCCTTCTCTTCAGAAGTTATCTATTGACAACGAGGGAAGAAAACTGCTGGTGTTGACCAACCTAAAGAAACTGTTGAACCTGAGAACATTGGAGTTGATCAGCTGTGACTTGGAGCGCATTCCACATTCCATCTTCAGCCTGAACCATTTGCGGGAAATAGATTTGAAGGACAACAACCTCAGAACGGTAGAAGAAATCATTAGTTTTCAACACTTGGAGAACCTTTCTTGCCTCAAACTATGGCACAACAACATCTCATACATCCCAGTGCAAATTGGAACCTTGGCAAACCTGGAGCAGCTCTTCTTAAATCACAACAACATTAAAAAAATCCCACCTCAGCTCTTTCTTTGCAGAAAGCTAACTCATTTGGATCTTAGTTATAACAAGCTCACTTCTGTTCCTGATGAAATCCAGTATTTAACAAATCTTCAGTACTTAGCTGTAACGAAGAATCATGTAAGTAGATGCAGACTATTGGTTCAAAATGAATTTTAAAAAGCTATTCATTCCATATGTGCTCTTCTCTTTGCTTCCAGGCAATCACATTTCCATGAGAGCTCGTTGTGTTATTCCAAACAAAACTCAGCTGAACAAGCTGATTTTCTTTTCATCTGTCTTACTCATTTACTAACTGGAACAGGGTAGAGGGAGCACACAACTCCTCTGTTATGTTAGCTCCACTGACTGCCAGTCTGCTACCAAGCATAATTCAAAGTCCTGGTTTTAGCCTATAAAGCCCTAAACAGTTCCATCCCAGTTTACCTGTTTGATCGTATCACCCTCTATGATCCATCATGGAGGTTAAGATCTTCCAGGGAGGCCTTGCTCTCGGTCCCACTACCTTCGCAAGCACAATTGGTGGGAACGAGAGACAGGGCCTTGTCAGTGGTGTCCCCTTGTCTGTCAACTCTCTCCCCAGCAAAATCAGAGCAGCCCCCTCCCTCCTGAACTTCAGGAAGAAAGTAAAAACCTGGTTAGGGGGCCAAGCCTTTGGCTAGCAAGTTAGTGCAATAGGGTAGATGGAATTGTGAAATGACTAATGGAATGGCCTTGGATTTTACTCTGGGTGACGTGATTTTAATAATTGTTTTAATATTGGTGTTGATGTATATGTTTATTTTTATATGTACGTATGTGCATGGCATCACATGCCTTTTTGTAAGGCCGCTCTGAGTCCCCTTTTTGGGGTGAGATGGGCAGGATATAAATGCAGTAAATAAATAAATAAATTTATTAGGACCCACTGGTGGCGCAGTGGATTAAACCTTTGTGCCAAAAGGACTGCTGACCGAAAGGTCAAAAGTTTGAATCCGGGGAGTGGTGAGCTCCTGTCTGTCACGTCCAGCTTCTCATGTAGGGACATGAGAGAAGTCCCCCACAGGATGGTAAAACATCTGGGCATCCCCTGGGCAACATCCTTGCAGACAGCCAATTCTCTTACACCAGAAGCAACGTGCCATTTCTCAAATTGTTCCTGACATGGCAAAAAAATAACCCTTATTTATTCATCCATTGAGTTTTGTTTCCTTACATGTTTAGGAGGCCTAGTCTACATAGCCCATGATACCAGTGTGACTAAAACCACAAGAGCCACATAGAATTTTGTATGAAGGACTGGCACTTGGTTGATAGCATTTATTGTTTGTCACATTCTGTTTTTCAAAATGTGAAGATCAAGCAGTGCCCAACTTGATGATCAGATGGCTAAAGCACTGTTCTTTGAAGAATTTGGGCTCAACATTTGTGTGAGAGCTCATTAGGCCGCCCCAGTTAAATCCATTGCCAGAGGCTCTTCATACTTTATGGCACTTGCGTGGGAACAAATGGTTGGCTGTGTGTATGTTGCCAGTTCTTACAGCTTGTTCCTATTTGCTGACATGAGCATAATAGTAACATTGCCACCAATTGTGCTGTGAAGGACTTCATGCATGACAAGTGCACATTAAACTTCTTTTAATCAGCCTTTTCAAACTGCAAACTATTATGTCTATAATCCAGCCATAAATTATAGAAGCCAGTTGTACTGTAACCACAATAAAAATTCAGATTTCTGCATTAGGCTCTGCGCTTTATTAGGAGCATGCAAAAGCAAGCTTTCTAGGGCTTGACATGTAAGAGAAAATAAAAGGAATAGAGAAAAGGCAGAACTACTTAATGCCTTCTTTGCCTCGGTCTTCTCACAAAAAGAGAGTCTTCAACCTCAGCAAGATGGAGTGGATGAGGGATTGGAGGACATCCAACCCCAAATTGGGAAAGAAGTCGTACAGGAATACCTGGCCGCTCTTAATGAGTTCAAGTCCCCAGGGCCAGATCAACTACACCCCAGAGTATTGAAGGAACTAGCGGAAGTCATTTCGGACCCATTGGCAACCATCTTTGAGAGTTCTTGGAGAACGGGAGAAGTTCCAGCAGATTGGAGGAGGGCCAATGTGGTCCCAATCTTCAAGAAGGGAAAAAAGGATGACCCAAACAACTACCGTCCGGTCAGCCTCACGTCGATACCGGGCAAGATTCTGGAAAAGATTGTTAAGGAAGCGGTCTGCAAACACTTAGAAACCAATGCGGTCATCGCTAATAGTCAACATGGATTTATCAAAAACAAGTCATGCCAGACTAATCTGATCTCTTTTTTTGATAGAGTTACAAGCTGGGTAGATGCGGGGAATGCCGTGGATGTAGCGTACCTGGATTTCAGTAAGGCCTTCGACAAGGTCCCCATGACCTTCTGGCAAGGAAACTAGTCCAGTGTGGGCTAGGCAAAACTACGGTGAGGTGGATCTGTAATTGGTTAAATGGAAGAACCCAGAGGGTGCTCACCAATGCTTCCTCTTCATCTGGAAAGAAGTGACAAGTGGAGTGCCGCAGGGTTCCGTCCTGGGCCCGGTCCTGTTCAACATCTTTATTAATGACTTAGATGAAGGGCTAGAAGGCATGATCATCAAGTTTGCAGACGACACCAAATTGGGAGGGATAGCCAAGAGTCCAGAGGACAGGAGCAGGATTCAAAACGATCTTGACAGATTAGAGAGATGGGCCAAAACTAACAAAATGAAGTTCAACAGGAACAAATGCAAGACACTCCACTTAGGCAGAAAAAATGAAATGCAAAGAGACAGAATGGGGGACAATGAAGCCTGGCTCGAGAGCAGGACGTCGGAAAAAGACCTTGGAGTCCTCGTGGACAACAAGTTAAACATGAGCCAGGAATGTGATGTGGCAGCAAAAAAAGCCAATGGGATTTTGGCCTGCATCAAGAGGAGCATAGTGTCTAGATCTGGGAAGTCATTCCTCTTCTGCTTTGATCAGACCTCACCTGGAATAACTCTGTGGCCAATTCTGGGCACCACAGTTCAAAAGAGATATTGACAAGCTGGAAAGTGTCCAGAGGAGGGCGACTAAAATGATCAAGGTCTGGAGTGGAGACCTTGCCGTATGAGGAGTGTCTTAAAGAACTGGGTATGTTTGGCTTGCAGAAGAAAGGTTTGAGAGGAGAAATGATAACCATGTGTAAACATCTGAAAGGGTGTCAAGGAAGAGGGAGCAGGCTTGTTTTCTGCCACTGGAGACTAGGACGCGGAACAATGGCTTCAAACTACAAGAGAGGAGATTCCATCTGAACACATGGAAGAACTTCCTGACTGTGAGAGCCGTTCAGCAGTGGAACTCTCTGCCCCGGAGTGTGGTGGAGGCTCCTTCTTTGGAAGCTTTTAAGCAGAGGCTGGATGGCCATTTGTCAGGGGTGATTTGAATGCAATATTCCTGCTTCTTGGCAGCGGGTTGGACTGGATGGCCCATGAGGTCTCTTCCAACTCTTTGATTCTATGATTCTATGGTAGATCAGTGGGATCCAGTGGGATCTATCTTTTGATAGGTAGTCTTTCATTTGTGAGCCTGGGAAAAAGCAACTTCCCCATCGGGTTGTTGTAGGTTTTTCGGGCTGTATGGCCATGTTCTAGAAGCATTCTCTCCTGACGTTTCACCTGCATCTGTGGCAAGCATCCTCAGAGGTCGTGAGAACACGGCCATACAGCCCGAAAGCATTTATTGGAAGAGAGTAGAAGTAAAGAAAACATACGTCGATGGCTTTCATGGCCAGAATCACTGGATTGCTGTGAGTCTTCCAGGCTGTATGGCCATGTTCCAAGGGCATTGTCTCCTGACTTTTCGCCCACATCTATGGCAGGCATCCTCAGAGCTTGAGGGGGTCTGTTGGAAACTAGGCAAGTGAGCTTTATATATCTGTGGAATGTCCAGGGTGGGAGAAATAACTTGTCTGCTTGAGGCAAGTGTGAATGTTACAATTGGCCACCTTGATGGCCTTGCAGCTTCAAAGTCTGGCTGATTGCTGCCTGGTGGTTCCTTTGTAGGGAGGCCCTGATTGATTCTTGTTTAGAATTCCCCTGTTTTGCTCTTTATTTACTGTCCTGATTTAAAGAGCTTTTTTAATACTTGTAGCCAGATAGCTTTTGCACTGCTTAGGGAAACCTATGCTCATATTTGGTTGGGAGAGTAGATTTCATCTTTATTATGAGTTACTTGTAAAGTAAATTCAAAGACATAGCCATGTTAGTCTGGAATATTAGTATATAAAGGGATCTTGTAGAGTTGGTTTCTAAGGCGATATTAGCTCCCATTGCTTCATAAAATAATTGCTTAGCTTAATGGAGTCTCCATTTTTTTAGATTGTTCCAGGCTGAAATTTTGAAAGTGTTTGTTTAAATAGTGATACACGGTGAATGACCTCATTACAAAGGCCTATTGATTCACTACACATCATGGCGAATCCATGGGATCCCAATGGGAAGCATGGAGAACCTGTTGCTCCACACCCCGCATCAAATGACTTACCAGCAACCCCATGCCTCCCATGTTGCTGCAGCGTTGGCATATTGCGCTTCCTCTCCCCTTTGCCCGGCCGGAAGTACATGTGCATCATGTAATGAGCCCTGTTGGGAAAGAGGAAAGGAAGTGGTGTTCAACAAGGAAAGGAGCCTGTCTTATGTAGTATGATAAATTTCATTGAGCTTGTAACACATATGTCATTTTTAAAATTTGGAAATTAGCAATAAAAAGAATATTGGAAATCATTCCTTAGTTGTAATAACTTATTAATGGTGTGACATTTTCTTAGCTGTCTGTATTCATGAAGGAATACAAGTTAGATAAGGATAAAAGAACCCTAATTAATTTCATTATTATCATTTATTCATTACTAATGTGTATTCTTGTTGGTTACATTGGCATGCCTTAGGTACTTTCTGCTAAAGATAGATTTTCGGGTTATTTATTTATTTACTCTACTTATACCTCACCTTTCTCTACCCCAAAGGGGACTCAAGGCTGCTCATAACAGAGACAATTATTCAATGCCTTAAAACACAATTAAAATTAAGTTAAAATTAATTTTAAAACATTCAATTCCATATTAAAACCACACCATTCATAATCATTATAAATACAGTGATCTTCCAGGTTAATATCCTTTTCTGTTTGTCTCTCACTTAGATTGAAGTACTTCCGGATGAATTGTTTCAGTGCAAAAAGCTGCAACATCTCCTCCTTGGGTATAACAGCCTGACACAGTTGTCTCCTCAAGTCGGTGAACTTTCGAACCTTCTTCACTTGGAGCTAAAAGGAAACTACCTGGAATCGCTTCCTGCTGAGCTGGAAGAGTGTACTGCTCTGAAACGGAGTTGCCTAATTGTAGAAGAATGCTTGTTAAACATGCTTCCCCTTCGGGTGATAGAGCCTGTTCAGATATGTTTGGACAAAGTCTGAGTGAACGAGAGAATGAGTGGAGAAGCAAGTGGTCTTGGGTGCATAGGCAGAATCCTGTGGAGCGTTTTCAATCCTAGCTGTAAAGGAAAGCATAGAAAGAAAGAAGAGGAAATGCAAGTTTGCAGCTACGTCTGGTTTGTTTCAGGTATGCACCAGTCTGGTTGACTTAAAGTTCTCTTTGATAAGAGCATGTTTAAGTCTTAAACAAAACAAAAAAATCCAGACATGGCAAGAATATGCATGCATCCTATGAAAAATTAATTTTATTGAATGACTACAACATCAATAGTATTTTCATTACATTTGAGTGTCTGGGATGGAACTCTGTCACTTTTCCTAAAGCAGCCGTTCTTATATACTTTTTTTTGCGCAGACCAACAAATTTAGTTTTTCTTGTGTTTTTCCCATGGGCACATTGCTGGAGTGGATTGGAGTAGAGATTGCTGTTAAAGCTTGTCTTATAAAAAGCACACCCTTTTTCTTACCCTAGGAAATAATTTTAGAGTTAGAGATCTTCATTTATTTATGGAATAATTCAACAGGAGGTAGTTTTGTCTCCACAAAAAGCTAAGGGAAAAATCCACTGAAAAGCTAATGAGCTTTGCCCAGAATTATCCCCACTAAATGCCACCTGGACTAATTTATTTTATGTTGCTTTAAAATAGGGATAATTGAATCCACTGTCTATATATACTGGAGTAGAACTGGACCTGGTTTTAAGATTTAAATCAGTCTTTGAGAACTATGCAAGGTTTTAAATTCAACATGATAGGTGTCACCTAAATTGTGTTATGCTTATTGTGTGTATGTGTGTGCGCGTGTGCTTAGAAATCTAGCTTCCTAATTCTTGCCTCTAATCTTGGGGCAATAGTAGAACTTTAATAGGGCATTGTTTGCCATATCTGGCAGTTTTCATATTTCACAGTTTTCCAATCCTACCCTAATCTTCTTTCTTGGGAGAAAATTATTTCAAAAGTGTACATCAACTTATGTAAACCATTAATGGGAGAGTGATAGTTGGATGCTTTTGCAGATTATGTGGAGTATGTTTAGGAAAATCAAAATAGATAATGGTAGGAAGTGAACTTGGATAATCCTATACACTTGTCACATATTCATTAAGTGATGTACATGTACATTGATGGCACTATGTAAACATAATCATAATAATGATAATACTACTAATAATAGGCATACTTTAGAAAGTTGCCATAAGATCATGTTATACCAATTTTAATTGTCACTAATACAGAGAAGAAATGGCATTCAGATATAGTCTTGGGTTTTCAGGATCCTCCCTTCAATGTAGGTCAGCATGAAGGATGCTACTGCTAAAAAAAGGGAGAGAAGTAAAGTGAGTTTTGACCATACTTTCCTCCCTTGGATCCCTGTACTTTTCCAGATTAGCTATAAATAATTGTGTGGCTCCCTGGAACATTATAGGAGGTAGAACAAAAGCTGTATAGCATTGGTTCTCAATTTGTGGGTCCCCAGGTATTTTGGCCTACAACTCTTAGAAATCCCAGCCAGATTACTAGCATTTCTGGGAGATGAAGGTCAAAATATCTGGGGACCCACAAGTTGAGAACCACTGCTGTAGAGGGATTTAAAAATGGCTGAAATTCTACTCCTCACTCCTTTTCCAATAAGAGTATCTACTGGATCAGTGACTTCCATGGATGAAACAGCTCTTCTGATCATACAGGGGAAAAATAGTATCCATCCTATGAGTTATTGGGGAAGAAGAGTTATTTTTGTATCTGTTTCAGTGCTGCTCTGAGACATCTCTTCTGATATGAAAGTGTAAAAACATAATAGCATGATTTAAATGTTTACGTGATGTATTCAGGTGTTCTGACTATTTTTAATCACTGTTTTGTGAGATCAGGTTGAGTAAGGTACTAGAAAGATGTGTGAGAAATTGATACTGCTTTTTGTTGTTACGGTCCTTTTATTTTCTTTTAAAATGTCTTCATGATACCACAAAAGTTGTTTCTGAAAAATAAAATCTCGACATGTTGATGTTTGTCCATCACAAATAACCACATTCCAAAGACCTATAGCACTCAGGGAACAGAAAACATTATTGTTTTCATAGATTTAATGCAGCACCAATGATCCCATCTTTTTGTGAAAGGTACAATTTATTATTATGTTGGGGCACTGTTCAGTCCGTGTGCTGAGCAATATTAATGGGTTACCTTTATGTTTGCAACAGCTCAAATCAAGTAAGCTTTATGATACTATAATAAGTGTACATTGTTATTGTATTTGCATACCTTGGGATAAAGTAACTAAAGCTGCTTTCTTTTGGGCAAAAAGCTGCAGACCTGGAATGATCAAAAGTGCACTGATCTTGTGTCTGCATAAGGGAAGAATCAACTTGTAGGCCAACATACTACACACTTTTACGCTTCATAAAATTAGTTGTAATATTCAAGTAATATTGAATATCAGTTTTTCCTTTCCTTTATTGGTTTTTTTTTTTGCCAGCTTCACTTTCCTCAGTTTATGACTTGTACCTGTGGACAGTCATCTCACAAACAGATGACATTAATCATGGTGTAAAGAAGGGGTTCTCAACCTTTGATCCTCCAGGTGTTTTGGACTTCAACTCCCAGAAATCCCAGCCAGTTTACCTGCTGTTAGGAGTAGTGGGAGCTGAAGTCCAAAATACCTGGAGAGTGAGACCCAAAGGTTGAGAACCAATAAAACCAGAGTAGTTCATATTGCTGAGGCCCAAAATCTGTGGGTAATTACAACACACATAGAGTATTAAGATTTTAAGAGTTTTAACTTAATTTGTCCTCAAGAAATTAATGAACACTGAAATTAAGAAAACAAAAAAATTCTGATAGTGTTGTGGTTTTGTTTGTTTTTAAAAATAGGCATTATGGGGGGAAAGAGTTGTGAGTCTTGAAAATGTTTGTTTATATAGAGGTTGATTCTGACACAGCTTTTAAAAGAATGTGAGCTTTCCAGGAGTGATTATTTTTTAAAGTTCTTTGTTGACTTCGCTTAGATTGGCTGTGACTTCTTTGACATTCCTTCTGCCCTGATTTTATCTCTAATGTTTTAAAATCTTAATAGCAACCACACCGGAAAGGGTTCTGTGCTGCCTTCAGAAAGGATTTATGGGAAATGGAAAGTGCTTCTAAAAGCAGCAGAAATAAACTATATTCATCAAGCTGAAGATCTCTTTTAAAGGCTGCAGCCATGACTTGCAGGCATGAATGCATGCTAATTTGATCTGATTGCTCAGTGTTAGATAACATGAGCATAAAAACTTCCTTTTAAAGTGAGATATAGACCGCATTGACATTTTCATTTAAATTAGTAGCAAAACGTTTTTCACAAAAGACAAAAAGTCTTAAAGGCTGGCATTGCTGGCCTTGATGCATGCCACAGTGTGCCTTTTTAGTTTTCTTTCTGTATCCAGACCTCCTCCTTCAGATGGCAGAGCAGAACTATTAAGTATTTTTGCAAAATCTGTTTCTTGTCTCCACCCGTCATATTTTGTATTGGAATGAAGATAATTTCAGCGAATCAGTTGCTAAACCCATCTTCATAATTATAGGACAAACTTTGGTAACTTCAAACCATATATGTATATAGCACTTGTTTTATACGCAATGCTTCTCAGTTTCTTTCAGTATTATAATGTTGCTCAGTTTGGAGGAGGGCAGGTCGGGGAGAGAGTCTTAAATACGGTCTTGCAGGTGTTGGCAACATGTTAAATATTGAATAAAGTTCTGTTAACTTGTCTAAGTTTAATCCTACTCGCATCTCTTTTTTTCACTTGTTGATAATGGACCAAGGTCTGGTCATTTAACTCAGTGCAACTGACATCTGAACATTAGAAGCATCACCTAACCAAAAATAAGCACTTTTAAAGCTTCCCTTTTTAAATTTGGAAAAGATAAGCACTTACCTGGCTCTAGGCCAGTCCTTCTTAACCGGTGGGTCCCCAGGTATTTTGGCCTACAACTCCCAGAAATCCTAGCCAGCTGTTAGGATTTCTGGAAGCTGAAGGCCAAAACATCTTGGGACTCACAGATTGGAAGCCACTGCTCTAGTGCATTAAAATCAGATCTAAAAGTACTTAGCTTTGTACATTTAGCTCTTTATATACACCCCTTTCACTTGGCAGCTGGAGAAATATTCATTTTTTAAAAAATGCATTCTGAACAAAATAATGGAGATGGAGCACTCTTAAGCACTGTCATTAATGGTAGTTTGACTTCACACTTCAGAAATTCAAATATGTCTGACAACAGTCTATTGTAGTGGTTCAGCACTGTGGAAACAGACACCACTATTGTTTTCCGCTGGAGTCCTCAAATGTAGGATTTTCTTGTGTTGTAGTAGAGAACAAACTGCTTATTGTGCCACAACTTTTTTATTTATTTTGTGTCAAAAGCATTGCATAAATAAGCATAAAACTGCTAAAATAGAGGGAGCACAAGCGACTAAATAGTTTTAGACCAAAAATGGACAATAGTGACCTCATTGTCTGTAGCTTTAAACAGTTCTTCCTCTGTGCATGAGGCAGGACATTGTGGACAAGCATACAGATGCGGAGTTGTTCTGCTCCACAGTCACACAAGGTGGAGGATTCTTTTAGGTTGTGTCATTTTGCTAGGTTGCCTTTTAATCTGCCCACTCCACTTCTGAATCTGTTCAGGGACTTCGAAGTTGCCCATTCTTGGTTTGCCCCTGGAGGCAGACCCTTGTAGGCTGGGGGTACCATTTGTGATTTCCTGCTTTAACTGTCCAGAGGGATGCTTCTGCTGTTGCAGGAGGAACATTAAGAAGAGTTGTGGTTCTCGTGAAACTTTTCCATGATTTGAGTCTACTGGGAGGAGGCTGATAGCAATGCAGTGGATGGCTTTCATAGTGTCCAACCTTATTTCTCTCACAGTTAGCAGCAACTTCCCATCACACATTGGTGGGGGGGGGGTGCCAGCTAGCTTGTAGATCAGTGTTTCTCAGCCTTTGGTCCTCCGGGTGTTTTGGACTTCAACTCTCAGAAATCTTAGCCACCTTACAAACTGTTAGGAATGGTGGAAGCTGAAGTCCAAAACACCTGGAGGACCAAAGGTTGAAAACCACTGTTGTAGAGGTTATTAACAGGTGTAGGTTTGAGACATCCTGTGATTATTCTGCATGTTCCATTGCCTCAACCTATTTTAATATTTCAAGTATGTGAATGCATGGACTGGAGAGCTTCAAAGCTTCCTTGTTTTTATCATTTGGTCATGTATAAATATTTTGCTTGAATCTGCCATTCTCATAATTTGAAGATAGACACTACTTTCGAGAAGAGGCAACTTGCACATGACTTACTCACTGCTCTACCCAATTTAGAAATCCCTCATTGCAGGCAGATCTCAATTATCAATGCCTCTGACAAGGAAGTCTCTTTATGCAAAGCCTATTTATACATACCCAGCCCTTGTCATCTGTTTGGCTGGATTATTTTTAGCAGCCTCTGTGCTGGAAGGATGGTTAAGAAGTTCTGGAGAAATATGGTTGCAACATCATACCTACAATAAATATGTAGTAAGGTTGTGCTGGGAAAGAATGGGATTTGCTGTAGCAAATCCTTTTCTAACTGTACCTGCCTACAATAGGAAAGGTAAACAGCTGCTTGTAAAATCCCTTACTGATCATACATATAGAAAACAGAGGTAAAAGGGGAAACTAGATAAGCCTGCCTCACCAGTTACCCTCACTGTGTTAAAGAAGCTGAGATCTATCATTTAACCCACCAAAAATAAAAATCCTATAGGGAGGCTGAGGAAAGGAGAAAAATCACTCCTAGATGTTCTTTCTCCCACCCTGGACATTCCACAGATATATAAACCTCACTTGCCTAGTTTCTAACACCTCACAACCTCTGGGGATGCCTGCCATAGATGTGGGTGAAACGTCAGGAGAGAATGCTTCTGGAACATGGCCATACAGCTTGGAAAACTCACAGCAACACAGTGGTTCTGCCCATGAAAGCCTTCAACAGCACATCCCTGAATGTGTTTGGAAGAATCCTTCAAGTGGTCTCTAGAAAGTTCAACATGTTTTCCTTTACATATACAAGGCTTACCTGACCTTTCCCAGGTCAAGCTTCATTGCTTTCCTGTAGACATGTAGCTGCAGCTCAACACTGAAAGTCTGTCTGTCTTCTGCTTTGCTTCACCACATTTCCAGTGACAATGGATTATCATCAGCATCATCATACATTTCCAGCTAGACACAAGGCAAGGAAGCGGAGGGAGGAGTGCTCCTTTGTCAGAATCTTTTAATAAATGCCTATACTACTTTCATGTCATTATTTATTTCAGGACTGGTAAAAAAAAAATCTGTGTTGCTCTAGTTCCATCTGTTGACATAACAGGAAAAACTGAAACCCTTCTATACTCAAGTACTTACATGAAGGCATTTTGACTTCATTTTCTGTATCTTGGTCAGAAAAAAAGCAAACCACAATGCTTTCTCATTTCAAGTTTCCTGTATGAAAAGTTCAAAACACCAGAATGGTAAAAACACGGAAAATAATACTTGAAACCAACTCATTGCACTGAACTTCAGTACTTCTGCCAAATGCAACAGCATTTGTTCTAGATTATGTGAAAGTAAAATTATTTTCAAAGATAATGTAAAACATACAAACATGATTGACCTAAAGATCTCATGAGCTACACTGGAGGTATAGCCAATACTGTGGAATAATGGTGGTTGCAGTTCCATAACAGGTGGAGTATAGGTCACAGGTTTTCCACCACTGAATCTATTTGTTCTTTCTTTAGAAATGTATTATTTAAAAATAATACTTTTGCTAATAATAATCATCATCATCATCAGCATCATCATCTGTGGCCCAGATGATTCACTGGAACTTATGTAACAAGTATCACCTGCAAGCAGTAAAGAATTGGTGGGATTATAAACCCGCAAGGGTCGTGGAAAATGAACATGCAAAAATACTGTGGGACTTTCGAATCCAGACTGACAAAGTTTTGGAACACAATACAACAGACATCACGATTGTGGAAAAGAAAAAAGTCTGGATTGCTTCAGCCCCCACCCCCCGAAATTCTCATGGTGGTGCATTATTTAAACTGTTATATTTATTCATATAATGATCTGATCACCATGCTCAATATATCCCATATGCATGGGGGTGTTGGGGTAATGATACAAAAGGTTTGCGAGGGTAGTCCCTCTTTCACTCAGACTCAGCCCCCCCCCCGAATCAAACTCAACCCCCCCCCCCCCCGAAACGAAATCCTGGCTACGGGCCTGACCAGACATCACAATTGTGGGGAAAAAAAAGTTTGGATTATTGATGTCGCCATACCAGGTGACAGCTGCATTGAGGAAAAACAAGAAAAACTCAGCCACTATCAACTATAAACCAGTACAGGTGGTCCCAGTGGTCATCGGCGCACTGGGTGCCGTGCCAAAAGATCTCAGCCGGCATTTGGAAAC